GTCCTTGGAGAGGGACATCATGCTTGGGAGGGTGGAGGGACAGCGCAGGAGGGGAAGACCCTCTATGAGATGGATTGACTCGGTGACTGGGGTAATCGGGATGGGTGTGTCAGAGGCGGTGAGGTTGGCGCAGGATAGAGCAGGGTTTAGAGCTGTTGTGCATAGGGTCTCTATGAGTCGGAAAGGACTCGATGGCACATAACAACAACAACAACAATCTTTTTAGGAACAAATTACCAGTACTTTTCTCCCGCTGAATGACTGATGGATGCAAATCACTGACCTATTGTTTAGCTGCAGAGCCATTTATCCATTGTGTCAGGAAAGCTCCTTTCTAGGAGTTAGAACAATCATTTTCCCTGTTCCACAGATGACGATCTAGCGAGGCACAAAGAGGCTATGATTTGCTTATGTTTTCCAAGTATTTAAGTGCTGGAGTAACTATCAAACGTAGACATTTTGATTTTCCAATTTGAACTCTTATTTAGTATACTATGTGCTCCTAAACATGTAGCCACCATCCTGCACCCTAACCGAGAATGTAATGCCTGTTACAGCTTTCTACCAGCTTAGACTCAAACAAATTCTCATAGTAAAGAAATACCTCATTTGAGTTTTACTTTTTCTGTAACTAGACCCTAAAGTTAGAATTTCTGTTACACCATGACTTTGCTAATGCATTTCTTCTCTTTATAATCTGTATTTTAAATTGACAACAAAATTGGCATTGCACTGACAGCTTAGATTTCTAATGATGGACTACAGTCAGAGAAATTAAATGGCATTTCATGTTTAAATTTCTTTGAGATGTAAATTGTGATCCATAAATGATACAAAAGTAGGGAAGACAGGACATAGTGTTATGTAGGTAACTTTTGAGCTGGGATCTGAGTAAAGAATGTCCCTGGCAGAAAGAACAAGTGCAAAGACCTGATGCAGGAAGTATCTAAGCATATTCAGGGAGAGAAAAAAGGCCATTAGGAATGATGAGATCTGGCCACAATGAGGGAGTGAGAGATTTAATTGAGGTAAGTGGAAAATATAATTTTTTGTAATTTTGTACTTTATAGAAAAAGTATAGATTATTTTTTCATGTAGTGTGAAGCCATTGAACATTAAGGCTGTAAACTGGATAGATTATGTATACTGAATTGAAACAGATGAGGGAGAGAACAGTTTAGAAGTGATATATGGGGGGGTAAAGAAAAAAGTGCAA